GAAGGGAAGGGAAGGGAAGGGAAGGGAAGGGAAGGGAAAGGAAGTGAGGCGGGAAGGGCCCTCAGCAGATGGGGACACCTGGCTGGGCAGCACCTGCCACTGCCCCCATGGTGCCCTGAGGGGAAGGGACCCCTCAGGCATAGAATCCAGGCCCATGGGCTGGGATGGGGGGGGAGCAGCTGAGAGGGACAGCGGGATGGGGCTTTTCCTCCTGACAGGGAAGACAGTCCCAAGGAGGATTTTTTACGGGAAAATTTTTATGGGAACTATTTTTTTTATATCCCCGGCACGAAATGGCGGCGGGGGGTCAAAATGGCGGGGGGGGGGGGGGGGGGCCGGGGGCGCCCCGCCGCCGGGGGGCGCGCGCCGCCCCCGCCCCCCCCTCCGCCCCCCTCCGTCCCCCCCCCGTGGTCACGTGGCGGCGGCGCCGCCCCCGGTCGGCGCGGACGGGCCGGGGCGGCCCCGCGAGCGGCGGAGCCTCGGCCGGGCCCCGCGGGGTCTATGGGGAAGGCGGCCGCGCTCTGCGCCGGCGGCACCCGCGGGCTGGTCTCGCTCCTCAGCGCCGTGCCCTGCCTGGCCTGCCACGAGCTGCCGGCCATGAGCAGCGAGCCGGGCGGCCGCGGCGGCGGCGGCGGCGGAGGAGGAGGAGGAGGAGGAGGGGGGGGTCCGGCGGGGGGTCCGCCCGCCGCCCCCCCGGGCTCCGACACCTACAAGGGGTGGCTCTTTAAGTGGACCAACTACCTGAAGGGCTACCAGCGCCGCTGGTTCGTGCTCAGCAACGGGCTGCTCAGCTACTACAGGTACCGGGGCAGGGGCCGCGGGGGCTGCGCTGCCGCGCGGCCAAAATCGCTGCGTGTTACTCCGTTCGGGCTTTTTTTCCTCTGCCAAGGCCACAGTCGGGTTTTGGTCTTCCAGAGCCATAGTACAGTGCGAGTCCCCCCGAGACCGGCTGCCCGTGCGTCTCCCATCCATCCATCCCTCCCTTCCTCCTGCTGCAGCTCCAGCTGCTGGAACTGCCCGGACTGAGCAAACCTTCCAGCAAAACAACCCGAAACCACTGTCCCTGTGCTGTGCAACCTGCTCCTGCTGCTGGTTCCCTGCCAGGCAGGGTGCCAGAGCATGGGAATCCTTGTCCCGGCCGTGCCTGTCGCTGCGAGCGCTGCGGCGGCCGGGGAAGGATGGGCTGGGCTGGGAGGTTGTGCCTGGGCTGGGGTGTTGTGCCTGGGCTGGGGTGTTGTGCCTGGGCTGGGGTGTTGTGCCTGGGCTGGGGT